CAGGTGGGGGGACAGGTGAGGACGCTGGCCACCACACCTCCTTCAACACTCCACCACGGGCCCTGGCCAGCACCACGTGGCAGACAGCACAAAGACTAGAAAAGAAGCATCGTTCACAGACACACAATTTAACAAATGGGCTACCCTAAGGAATTTACACAGAAGCTTCTAGAACTTAGACGAATTGAGCAAGGCCACAAGGCATGAGGTCAGCGAGCAAAAACGAGCTTTGTCTGCATGTACCAGCAATAGAGAATTTTTAAACCGATTTTTTAAATACCATTTAAAATGTCAGTAAAACATAAATATCTAGGGATTTTTTTTTTTTTTTTAAGATTTATTTACTTGAGGGGCGCCTGGGTGGCTCTGTGGGTTGAGCCTCTGACTTCGGCTCAGGTCATGGTCTCAGGGTCCTGGGATCGAGCCCCGCATCAGGCTCCCTGCTCAGCGGGGAGCCTGCTTCCCCCTCTCTCTCTGCCTGCCTTTCTGCCTGCTTGTGATCTCTGTCTGTCAAATAAATAAAATCTTAAAAAAAAAAAAAAGATTTATTTACTTGAGAGAGAACGTAGCACGTGCGTGCAGGGCTGGGGCAGGGGAAGAGGGAGAGAGAGAATCCTAAGCAGAGTCCTGCCCCATATGGAGCCCAACCTGGGGCACAACCTCACGACCCTGAGATCACGACCTGAGCCCAAATCAAGAGTTGGACGCTTACCTGACTCAGCCACGTGGGCACCCCTGTAGTGGTAATTTTAATGAAAAATTTGTAAGACCTCTATATTGAAAACTGTAAAACACTCATGAGAAAACCTGAAAACGAAACAAACCAAAGGCAACTATGTTCACAGAACAGAAGACTCAAACAGCCCTTTCCCCGGACCGAGCTGCCACCTCGAAGCGACCCTAGAACATGCCAGGAGGCTCCGGGAGAAACAGACAAGCTGACTCCGAGACGGGAGCGCAAAGACTGAGCTCCCAGCCTCCATAAGCTTTACAACGAGCACCGCTAGAGGACTTGACGGCCTTATCCTGAGACCCACCGCAGGTCTACGGTAACCAGAACTGGCGCTGGCACAGGGACGGAGAGACACGCTGACCCAGCGCACGGGACAGAGGCCAGTGAACGTTTACACGGCTCTCAGATAAAAGCACCGAGACAACATGATGGGAAAACAGTCTTTTTAATTTATGTCGACCCCACGAATATAAACCGCAGCTGGCTCACAGGAACATCGTAACCCTGACGCAAAGGCTGAAACCACGGAGCTTCTCGAAGAAAACAAAGGAGAACACCTTTGTGACTTGGGCAGGCAAAGATTTCCCGGACATGATACGGATGTGAACGGACAGATACACTCCAGACTCCCAGTCCTGAAGGTGCGCTAAAGAGCACAGCCAGCTGAGCGGCGCGTTCTACGCGTCCCACAGGTGCTCACGGCTGGAACACGTCAGGAATTCTCACAGCTCCGCGAGGAGACCACTCCGTGCTGACAAACAGCATGAACTCCTCTCCGCTAGAAGAAGCCAGAGCCGCTGAGAGCTGTGGCCAACTCGCAGGTCGGGAACACGGGAACCTCAAGGTGACGTGGAGCGCTGCGGTTCTGGAACATACAGGCCTGCTCAGGAAGGAGGGGGCACGCCAAAGGGACAGGGCACGCACAAAGAGCCCCAAAGAGCCAGCACAGGAACAGCGGGCATGCCACGGCACAGTAGTGGGTCACAGCTCACGGAATGAGGAAGCGGGTGGGAAAGCAGGCTCTCCATGGAGAAGAGCCCCAGCCGAGAACCTCCCTTCAAGAACACAGCAATAACCAGTCATGGCAGGTGAGACCCACCTCTGGTCGCCAAAATCAGGGGGTGAAAGTCCAAGGAGAAATGGGATGGTTGCAAGGTCTCCAAGGATCTCTTCCAAGATATTTATTAATTAAAAGGGGGGAAAGAGTGCCTATACCTCAGAGAAACGTGATGGACCAGGTGGGCAAGGTTAACGTCACCACAGTAAGAGAAAACGATAGGCCGTGCGCCTCCTGCTGCCCCGAGAGCCCTTATCAGGAACAGACACCTCCGTCAGACGCCGCGTGGCACCCAGTCCCTGACACTCGGGAGCAGACCGCAGACACTACGCTACTTCATTCATAAGTACTTCAGCTTTTGCCTGTGAAAGTTACCACTTCTTTTAATAAAACTACAATGCCATGGTCACACGTAGGACAGACATCAGGGATGGCAGGGAATTTCCTCAAACTCGCACAGGGCATCTGCAAAAAACCTAGAGCTTTTACCACTTCTACGCAAAACTGTACTGAAGGTCCCAGCCAATTTGATAAGGCCAAGGAGAAGAACTAAGATCATGAAGACTGAAAGGAAGAAATAAAACTGTCCCTAGTCACAGACGATGTACTTATTTCTACGAGTCCTAATAAATCTACAAATCACTTACCAGAATCAATAAATTTAGCAACAGGTCATGGTTAATACGTGAAAGTCAACCGCATTCTTATTTATAAGCAGTAGGCGACCGGAAAGTAAAACTTAGCACAGAATCCTAGCTACAGGCCTGCCAAAAGCTCGACTCTCTGAGAATGGATCCAACCAACAGGTCCAAGACACGCCCCCCCCCCCCCCACGACGACAGAACGCTGCTGAGGAAGTGCGGAAAGACCTGAGCGAGCTCAAAGACACATACCATGTTCATGGACTGAGACACCTCGTACCGGAAGCCTCAACAGCAAATCTCTCCGTGCAACCTACTGGCTCAGTGCGATTCCTAAGAAAATCATGCAAAACCAACAAGCTAATTCCAAAATTTACATGGAGATGCACAGGAGGTAGAATAACCGAAGCAACATTTTTTATTTATTTTTTTTCAAGGAGGCTCCACGCCCAGCACGGGGCCTGACCTCACAAGCCTGAGATCAAGACGTGAGCTGAGATCGAGAGTCTGCCGTTGGACTGACTGAGCCCCCAGGCACTCCCCCCAAGCGCTACTTTAAAACAAGAACAAAGGCGGAGAAGCTGCCCTGCTCAGAGGGATGCCTGCTCTGCACATGAGGCCACCAAGGTCTTCTCTGGTGAAAGGAGACAGACGTGGACCAGTGGGACAGAAGCCACCCTGGAAGTGAGCCAACTCCCGCAGCGTCAACTGACTTGGACAAAGGTGATGCGAGAACTGCGCACAGAAGGGACGGTCTCGTTCACAGCGGTGCTGAGCTAGCGGCCGTCCGCACGCGCTATGGTCAACGTCAACCCATACCCCGTATCATACGGAACGACGCGCTCAGAACGGATGGAAAAACTCAGTAGAAAACCTAAACTGTAAAACTTCTAGAAAGCATAGGAGACAACCCCTGTGACCTCAGATTAGGCAAATATTTCTTAGGAGGCAAAACCCCACAAACTGTAAAAGAAAAATGTGGACAAACCGGACTTCATTCAAAGTTAAGCTATCCACTGCTCCAAAGACACTGTGAAGGGCGTGAGGAGGTAGGACGCCCAGGCTCAGGTGCTGAGGCATCTGCCTTCAGCTCAGGTCTCGTGGGATCGAGCCTCACGTCGGGCTCCTTGCACAGCCTCCGCCCCTCCCCCTGCTCGTACTCACTCTCTCTCTCCGACAAATAAATAAAATCTTAAAAAAAAGATACGAAGAGGTAAGCCACAGACCGGAAGAAAACATCTGCAGAATACACACCTGGTACAGGCCTGGTAATGACAATATGTAAAGATCAGTGAAAATTCAATAGTAAAATCAGCTCTTGAAAACAGGCAAAGGATGCGAAGCATCAGGAGTTACCAGGATAAGCAAATCGGAGCCGCGGTGGACTAGCAAAGGGCTGGACCGGCAGCAGGGCAGGACGCCAGCCCCGAGCTGCACAGGGACGAGCGCCCCGCTCCGCACGTGACAAACAGGCACAGAGGCCACCGGGGTGCACGCCAGGCCGCCTGACTCCCAGCCCTCCCTGCTACCTCCGCACTCCCACGTCCCAACCAGCAGCCCTCTTCAAAACTACCATAAACCGAACTACGGCACCCCGCTAACAGCTTACACCACGGACTGCTTTCGGGCCCGCACTACAGCAGCTGCGCACATCAGTTCACTTAAATTTGACAACAGTCTTGCGAGGAGGCATCGGTGGGCCCCCAAGCCAATCAAACAGGCTTGGGCAGCAAGAGCACCCCGGGTTCGTGGCCCCGCTACCACGTGGCAGGAAAGGGACTCCCATCACAGCCGGCCCTCCGGTCCCAGCCACTTCACGGGGCACCACCCGCCTAGCCCTGCCTCCGGCCACGGCAGCTTCCTGCAGGCATCACGGCGGGGCCCGAGGTGGTGGCCACACGGTTAAGGATTCTGAGGAACAACACAGCAACAGAGACCACAGCCACGCAGACACACGAGGACAACAGGGTCCCTGACCACGGACTGTAGAGCCAGAAGCAGGTACGGAACTGCACCCAGCAGCCATGGCCGGCGCTCTGCGGTTCCTTCCAGACCCCAGGCCAGCATGGGAGAGAGCCCACTAGAAACAGAAGGGCGGACAGCCTTCCTGTGGGTTCTGTCAAGGTCCCCCGCCGGGGGTGGGGGGGCTGGCACTTCTCTGCACATCCCGGAAACACGCTGGTGAGAGGCTGACCGGGGCACTGAGAGAAGGAGCAGCCGCAGAAGGCTGAGTCAGCACCAAATCCCAGGGGGAGGAGGAGGCAAGGTGGGGAGTGGAGGTGGGGGAGCCCCCGCACCCTGCCAGCTCCGCATGCCCCTCAGAGAAGATCCGAGGCTCAGAGAAGCATGGAGACCTGATTGGGGCCACACGTGGACGGCCCGGACTCCTCTGACTGGTCACTGCTTCCCAAGTCTGCCGGGCCGCTCACCTCGAGGAGCGGAGCTGTGCAGGACAAAGCGGGCTCAGAGGGCAGGCCATAAGCCGGAGAGCCCAGGTGGGGTGGCTGGCGTGGGGTGGGGGTGGGGGGAATCCCTGAGACCCCGCCCACCCCGCCGGCCTGGCACTCACCGGATGGTCTCAATGATTTCATGAGCAGCGTCGTGGTGTTTGTCCTGAAAGACAAAGGGACACGTTTACACCCTCCAGTGACACAAGGGCAGGGACCGGGACCCCCTACCAGACGGCCCTGGCCTGGGCCAGGACGTGCTGCTCTGGGACCCCTGCCCAGGCTGGACATGCCGCCCTTGGGAAGACCTGCTCCGGCAACACCACCCCCCCCCACCCGCCCCTACCAGCAGGCAGCGGGGCAGGGGCCTGGGATGGAGTCTCCGCCCTGACCCTCCCCTCCCTGCCCCGCACCCACACTTCTGCTGACTCCTCACCCCCCCCCCAGGTGCTGCTGTAGCCTGGGAGCCACAGGCCTGGTTCTGACTTACGGAACCTCTCCAGGCCTCTGTTTCCCCGTCTGTGAAACAAGGTAACACCAGTAACACAACCTTGGGAAAAACCTACAGGGCCGTCCTCCCGCCAGAGCACAGACACCCCCTAACCCCAGAGCTGATCTCGGCAGGTCCCCACGGTGCCCACTGCACAGGGGCTCGTCGCTGCTCCTTCCTCAAAGAGGGGGCTGAGGGCTCACTCCAGGCCTCTCACTGGGGTCTGTGCGGCCAACTGACACCAGACCTTGCCGAACCCAGGACCAGACACATCGAGTCCTCTTTCCGGCCCCGTCCCGATGCGAGCACGGCGCGGGCTGCCCCTCGGGGAGGCTGTGCACACACCCTGGCCACTTGCACCACCTCACGACAGACGCCTGGGGACAAGCGCCCGGGGTCAGGGTCGTCACAAGCCCAAGGACCGCGTACCCTGAGCGTGCTTCCGTAGGGACGGCCCCGTGAGGAGGGCTTCTCACAGAACGGAGCTCGCCCGCTTGGCGTGCCCAGCTCCACGGCTTTTCAGCACTTCCAGAGTCGCGACCCCGGAACACTCTCGTCGCCCTACGGATACCCGACCCAGCAGCCATCACCCTCCTCCCCCCGCAATCGCTAGTCCGCGGTCGTCTCTGTGGGCTTGCCTGTCTCTGGACATCTCACGTGAAGAGACTCGCACATCGTGTGGCATTTTGTGCCAAATCTTAACTTTTTTAAGGCAAATGAAGAGCCAATTTTTCATGTTCTTAGTAACATCCTCCAACTGACAAAAGATCAAACGACACACGTCACTTGCGGTCCTGTGACGGGGACACGGTGCAGGCGGGGCGAGACGGTTCCGCCGGGAACCGACCACGGCACCGGCTGCCGACTCAGAAACTGGGGGTGGGGCCGCTGATGGGGACCAGCGGCCCCCGGACCTCCTGGCACAGGTCAGAAGACTACTGGGGCAGCTCTGCTGGGCACCTGAAGCCAGCTTTAGCCCAACTTCAAAAGGTCTTAAAGGAACAATGGGGATTGGCCGCAAGGGGAGCCTCCTGGCAGGAGGCGGGCACGGCAGGCCCGGCACTACCTGCCCCTGCGTCCTGAGGAAGGAACATGGAGCCGGCGGACACCCCCGGCCTCTGACACGGGAGCCCAGGCTCTGTCGGCGAGCCACGCCAGCCTGGGTCCCAAGGACGCCGGGACACACTCGAGTGCTCCGATTCGCCGGGAGGGCGCAAGGAAGGAGGAGCTGGGGGACCCCCACAAGGAAACCGCTCCTCCGCCCACGTCAGCCCCGTCTTCATGGCTCCCGGCCAGCATGGAGCCCCTCTCACCCACGCACTCCACCAACGGCGGCTGCTACCTTCAGAGCCCCCCACACTCCCCAGGGCATCTCCCTGACCTGGCCAGAGCGTCGGAAACAAGGGCGAAGCCACAGTTCCTTCTGCCAGACCACTCGCCTGAGAGCCCACACCGCGGAACGCCCCGTGCCCGTGCGCACCGCCGTCCGCCACGTGCCGTGACCGCAGTCCTCGGGCCCGTCACCCGGCGAGCCTGTCCGCTCGGCCCGCCAGGTCCACACCTGCCACATGGGCACCAGTGAGGCAGGAGACCTGACAGCGACAGTGAGGCGGCAACCACAGAGCTCGGGAGACTGCACGACACACGCAGGGGAGTGTGTCACACGACCGTGGAGCTCAGGTGGTGCCAAGCCCTCCGCGGGCACGGCCAGCAGTCCATCTTGCAGACGGAGACGCTGAGCGCCAACATGCCCCAAGTGCCTCTGACGAGGCTGTGGGGGCCTGAAGCAAGGCCAGGAGACACAGCAGCACCCACCGCTGCGGCGAGGAGCGGGCAGGGCAGAGGGGAGGGCAATCAGGGTGCCTGCCTGGCGGTGACGCTTCCCACATTGATCACATAAACCTCGGGGGGCTGGGGCAGAGGGCACAGGTAAGCTGCACCTCATCAGAATGAAATGGTGACGCTTCCAAGGACAGCATCACGAAAGCCGAAAGACAAAGCACAGAACAAGAGGAAAATTCTGCAAGTCATTCTCTGGGGCAGCGTCTGTACCCCACAGGCACACCTCGCCGGGCCACGCTGTGCAGACAGGGCGCTTTTCCAAGCCCAGGGCCGGCACCCACCCAGGATGAGCCCGTCTATCTATCGGCACTGTGTTTCCCACAGCGGTGGCTCCCGCGGTGTCCGTGCGTCCCATTCGGGAATTCTCGCGACATTTCTAACTTCACTGCGTTTGCTGCGGTGACGCGGCCTCGCTGAAAGTGAGGGGACGTCAGCATTACCCGCAGTGTCTTCTCTTTAAGGAGTCCACACTGCCTTCTTTGGCCATCATGACACGGCACGCTGAACAGACCACGGTACGTAACTGGGAAACGACACAATCCATGTTTACCTGCGACACCTGCTTCACTGCGGGGCCCAGAACCCGCGGGACCCCCCGCGTGCGCCTGCGAGTACCCGGAACGCGAACCACTCCAAACGAAAACACAGCAGGGCCGTCAAAGCATGGACTGACATGGTCACTGCTGCAAAGAAAACACCCCCATGGCCAGCCAGTAAGACCAGTAAGGACATGAAAAGACGCTCCACCCTGAGCCAGGAACGGACACGAGGCAAAACCACAAGGATGGCCAGAGTCCGAACGACGGACACTGAGCGTTGGGGCGGGAAAGAGAAACTTCACACCCGGCTGGTGGGCACGGAAAGTGGCGCAGCCGCCCTGGAAAGCAGTCTGCAGTTCCTCAAACGTTTAAGGGGAATTTCCACGTGGCCCAGCGATTCCGCCCATAGCACACACCCGAAAGAAACCTCATACATCCACACGAAAATCTGTGCACGCGTTCACAGCAGCGGTGTTCCTCACCGCCAAAAGCTGGAAACAGCCCCAGTGTCCACCAGCGGATGAACAAACACAACCTGCCCCCGCACACGGAGCGTCCCCGGCCACCAGCAGGAGCCCCCACGCGCTGTCCCGGGACGGACCCCGAGCCCACGACGTGCAGGGAGGGGGCCAGACACAGAAGGGCACACAGGGTGTGAGTTCACGCGTGTGACACGCCCAGACTGGTCTCCTCCACACACGGAAAGGGGGCTCGCAGGGGCTGGGGATGGGGGGGAGGTGGCGGATGACTGCTGATGGGGACGGGGTTTCTTTGGGGAGATGGAAGGTTCTGGAATTGACAGTCGTGAGGATCGCACAACTCTGTGAATACGGCACACTCTCAACGCGTGAGTTATCTGGTACGTGACTTTCACTCCAACAAAGCTGTTGGCGGACCTCCACATGAGCAACGGCGCCCGGGAAAGCACCCCCAGCCCAGGAGGGAAGCACCGAGCCGAGGAAACACCCGTCCGATGGCCTCTCCTGCTGCCGCCCCACAACCCTGCGGGGGACCCAGACTCACGGCCTTGGCAGGAGCTCACCTGACGGCTGCACTGACCGTCCCGCAGAGCCCAGCAGGCCCCGCACGGTGTCACATGGTCTCCAGAAGAGACCGTCAGACCCACACAGCACAAGGACAAGCAACGACAGAGGGGAAGGTCGTCAGTCTGCAACTTTCCACCAAATTTCTCCCTCTCACTCTCTCTCTCTCTCTCTCTCTCTCGGGTCACTCTCCCCAGGGAAGCCAGCTGCCAGGCCACCGGCGGCCCCGCGGAGAGGCCCACGTGGTGAGGAGGGGAAGCCTCCCTCCCGCCAGCAGCCCAACAAGGGCACTAGCATGAATGGCTCCTCCTGCCCCGGCCCAGCCTTCAGATGAGGCAGCCCCAGGGGCTTATGTGCTGACCACAATCTCATGAGAGACCCCACGCCAGGACCCCCCCAGCTATGTCTGCTGCGGGATTCCCGAGCACACACCACGAGATAATAAACGCGTGTTGCTTTATGCTGCTACTGGGGATGAACCTGTTACGCAGCCACAGCTAACCGACACACGGTTTGCGCAAAGGCTGACGGCCGGCCGGAGCTCTGCCCACGAGAAAAGGTTCTGCGGCAGCAGGACTTGACAGGAATTTGGGAACTCCGGCAACGCCCTGGCCACAAGGGTGTGACTCCAGTCCGCCCAGCAGTCACGAGAGGAGAGGCACAGCCCTGTGCACGGCAGGGCGGGGGCAAACAGCAGCCCGAGGCGCCTCAGCAGGGCACGTGCACATGTGGGGCTCCCGCCCCTCCCCCGGCCTCGCAGGAACCCACACAGCCGGCCTGGCTGACTTGTCTCACACCAGATCCGCAGACCTGGAAAGGCAGAGGTGCCTGGAATTTGATCTCAGCTGGGGAGAAGATGAAATCCAGCTCTCCCAACTCTTTAAAAGCAGGAAAAATGAAGCACGACATTTACAACTGGGCTTCTAAAGGTCTCAGAACGACCCTTCAGGGGACAGGCCAGCTGCCACCAGCGGCCCTGAGGTATGTAATTTAAGATGCGCCGATCGCCATGAATGATTCAGGGACGTCGGGGCTGCGGCCTCTCCTTACTGCCCCACAGGCTTCCAGAGAAAGAGGCCAGAAGCCGCCCGGAAACTTGAGATTGAGCGTGGCCCCTTGGCAGCCCGCATTCATGAGCGCCCTTGTCTTGTGACCCAGGAATACCCCGTCCTCCTCCTCCATCGTAGGAGCCGCGGAACCCTGGTGTCCTTATAGGGACCACGCTGTGCACACACACAGCCCATGTCCCCAG